TAGTCTCAACCATTTCTCACCTTTATTGTTTAATATACTCTTTGCAATATTTTAGGAATTGTCTTGCTTGGTTTTTGAAAGTTAAGAATTAAGCTTTGCCTATGTATTTAAGATTGGGTTTGATTTCCCCAATTTAATCAAATAATTCTTGGAAAAAATTTAAGGTCAACACTATTGATTACATGTGTGTAATTGCTAAGAATCTTTGTGTTATTGGTAGCTTGTTATAATTTTTTGTGCTTATCCTATAGTTCTCTGTATATGTATACTTTTGGTTCAAGACCAGAGGCTTCCTACTTCTGGTTTTCTTTGAATAGGTATTGTTAGGCTTTGGTAAAAAAAAAAAAAGAAGTTAGTGGAATAAAAACATTATAATGTAATGCTGACTTGATACATAAACGAGACAGAAAATGAAAGCACAAAGAGAACATTTTCATTACATTGTCCATGTTATTACTATTGCAGAAAGATGTCAGTAAGCTCCTTGGCAGTGGAGCAAGTGAAAGTGAGGATATTAAAAAGTGGTTTAAATTAGTCCGTTGGAAGAAACAGGAACAAGACCTTCAACAAGCCATTGTTGTGTCATGAGAGAAATGTATAATTTTTACACTATTGGTCCAATTAAAGGATCAAGTCATGTGCTTTATATGATGATTGTGAAAATTGTATCATGTCATACCTCTCCTTATATAAAGCTATGCTTTTTTAGTAATTATAAAAGCAAATAATTAAAGTGGAGATTTGTATGAGAAATATCCTAAAGTTCCCAATTTTAATATTTTTTTGACACAATAACCTTTGACTCCATGCAAATTATCCAAATCTACCAATCGTAGTGGCTTAGTAAATTTCCATATTTGCCAACGTGTCCATCCTCTTTCCACTTCTAGAATTGAATTTCATTTCTTAATTAGTAATTGCAACACTATGATCATTTTTGGTTCTTCGTCTTGTCCTGTTGCGAGAATTGAGGATTTGAGCTCACCTACACCTTCCCAATCCCTTCAATCTAAACCTCTTCATCACCACAAACTTTTATTGACTTTATCATATTTGTAACTGCCATTTTATTTCTTGGTCCAAATTCACGATTACCCCATCGATTCTCATTAAATGTTCAAGTAAACTACTTATGAAACATTGATGTAATGCTAAACCAACAAAAACTAATAGCTGAAATAGGTTAACAGAGATGAAAATAGAACAAAGGTGAGATGAAATAGGAGAAATAAAGTGAGGAGAGGTGAGAGAAACTTTCTTTCTACACCAAGCCTTTCAACATGATTAGTTAACAAGGTTAGAAAAAAAAATATATATATGCTTAATTATTGAAATCACTTACTGTAAGGAGGTTAATTTTAACAATCAAAACTACAAGGTGTTCTTTTGAAACATAACCTAACTATAAGGTGTTAATTTATAATTTAGCCAAAATATAAAGGTGCAAATATGAAAAGCCATAACAAATAAGGAAAGAATTAGTGGTAATTCCATTGGGGAAAGACAGGTGATGAGCGTGATGCTATTACAGCTTATCGTGAGGCATGCAACACGAAGTCTTCCCATGTTCTCCAATGCCCATCTGACTAATAAGGACAACATATATAAAGGGGTAACCGTCAGAACGAGATTGAAGGGAACCAAAAGTCAATTGAGATGTCAAGTTCTCACGAAGGATTCATATCCAATTGGACCACGAGCTAAACTCAAAAAGTATAGATCATTTGGATGATTTTAGGAACGAGGCACGACAACAAAAACTCCCTCAAGAAGCATAAATTGTCCACATATTATGAGCTCGTTCAAAGAGATTGAGTTTTTCCAACAATGAGAAACACAACATGCCATAACGATATACTACTCAAAATCAACAATTCCAACTTAGACAGGTGCAACTCGACCCCTTAATGCCTCGAGTTCAAGGAACATGCTACTCTATAACTCCGCAGTCCAAACTCTCAGACTCCTAGACTGAACGATAACTATTCTAAACTCACATAATAAGTCCCACATGCTCTAAGGGTGCCTTTGGTATGGGAATTTTGCGTGGATTCCTAGGAATTGGGAGCGGGGAATTTTTTTTGTCAATGTTTGATATGCAGATTTGGAAATTTTCCCAGCTATTTTTTTTCCTATAATTTATTTTAACACTACACTTTCCTGAAGAAAAATACCATCTGACCCATGGTATAAATTTTTCCCACCCCTTGGGAAATGATAAAGCAAATTGTTGGACGAAATTGCTCTGCCTTGGGAAATGATTAAACAAATGATGTATTCAAACAAATGGGTATCTTTGTAATTCCATTCAACATTCCCAGCGATATTTTACAATTTACCAAACATAGAATTAGAAAAATAACCTAACATTTATGGAAAAATCTTGCCATATCAAATAATTTTTTAATAATATTTACTAGAAAAAAATCCTACAATATTACCGGAAATCATGATTCTCAGGTAAATTTTTTTGTCTCTCATACCAAATACCCCATAAAAGATAAGAGACCAAACCAATCGTGATTCAATATATGAATTATAGATATTGAGTTTTATCCATTAGAGAATTTGAGTCTTGTCCAAACTTTTTCAACTTCAGGTAAAACCCTCTTTATAAATAAAGGGTTAAACTTTACATGTACACACATTTCCAAAATCTCAATATTTATTATTATCACTATGCATACACACACCCATTTTCTTATAATTTGTTTTTTGTGCTCACTAATCTACTATCATCTAGGTTGTGTTTGGTATAAGATATCTCAAAATTTTCCTAGGCAACTGAAAGTGGGTAAGTTGATTATCCATGTTTGGTTCAAGTGATCTCAAAATTTGCCTACCTAACTGATTTGCCTAGCAAATGAGGTTTGCATGCAAAATTGGACCAAAACAACAGCGCTCAAATCCTCTTTTGATAGTGGTATTCCATCGATAACTAGGTAAGTAAAAACCATGAAATTAGGTGCTGCCAAAACTACCCTTGCTTAACCCGAGTCCGTAAGCGTTGTTGCTCCAATCTGAGGTCGTTGAATAGAACCAACGACGGTGCAGAAGATGCAGGAGTTGCTCGAATCCTCTTTACTTCTAACTTTAATTCCAGGAGTTGCAGAAGATGCAACAACTTGATATAATGCTTCCTTTTTCTATCTTTAGCTTCTTACTCTGCCTGTTCCACAAGTGCAGTGCTAAGCTTTCTTTGAGAATTTCCCCATGTTTCATCACCGTTCCCAAGTGATGATTCCCGACCAACGAAACGAGAGAAGGAGAAGATTACAGAGATATGAAAACCTTTTTATTTGTGGTTGGTAGAAATGTGCAACACACAATTCACACAATGGTAACTCACTTTTAAAAACAGTAAAAAAAGAAAGGGTATTTTAGTATTTTCAAATAATTTTCCCATCAATATTATATCTTCAACCAAACATACACTCAAAAAATTTAACCCAATTTTTCCGGTAAACTTTTGGCGAACCAAACAACTTTTTTTACATTTTCCTACTAAACTCACTTTCCAACCATTTTCCTATCAATTACATTTCCCTAGTATTCAAAAAATTTCTCCTCAACCAAACACCACCCTACTGTTTGTTCTCAAATCCCATATTAACCTTGTATTAAAGAAAACTCACTTATCAAAAAGTTAAACAACGAAGCAATTATTTTGTGTAACAGTGCTGCTCTATCTTAAAAGTTTCAACGAGATAAAATAGTTTGCCTTTTTAAATAATTTAAGTTATATCCTTTTACCCCTTATAATTATGTATTTCGAGGAGTATATAATTATAATATTAAATTATATTTGTTCTATCTCTTCAGAAACTGTTGCCTGACGTAAAAAGAAAAAAATATATAACTTGAATATTATAAGAGTAAATATCAATTTTGGTCCTCAGCAAATTTTACGATGCTCGCTTTAATCCCTAGCAAATAAAAAAGCCCCCCGTGGTCCTTAAAAAATTCAAAATGAACCCATTTTAGTCCTTTTAAGAGATTAATATGGGTCTTTTTTAAATTTGTGAGGGAGCACGATTTCAACTAAATTGGTCTATTTTGAATTTCTTAGGGACCACGATGGGCTTTTTTATTTGCTAGGGACTAAAGCGGACATCGTGAAATTTTCTGAGGACCAAAAATGATATTTACTCATATTATAGTTATGTATTTTATGGAATACACATTTAGAAGTGGATAAAAAGACATAACTTAGATCTATTAAGAGAAGAAAATATTTTCTCAAATTCCAATATTGAGATCCACAGAATAAAATTGCTTGCCAAATGATTAAAATAAAAAAGAATTTATTCCCTTATGTTTCAAGCCGTATTGTTCTCCACTCAAATGATGAGGTTCAAATTCAAATTTCTTGATACTTCGTACATGATAGCTTCACATACGAGTGTACATAAAGGTCCCTCATCACACTCACGTGTTGCAAAGCTATACGCCCTAGACCAAAATTTGTATTTGCCGCGCTCATCGTTTGGGGACTCCAAGACAAGACCAATCAATCATAGCTGTAGCTTTGAAATTTGTCATGTTGGGAACCCGAGGTTAGGAAACTCCGAACGTAACCTCTTCGTTTTTCGGACACGAACCTGCGCTTACTTACTACACTAGCTAATATTAATAAAGTACAAAAGTAAAAGTGTTTTAAATAAAAGGTTAAAAAGTTTTAATAATCAAGGAATTTAAAATATTTAATTTGATTTGTTTTTGATAGTGTATTTAATTTAATTTAATATAAACTACTAAATACTCCTCCTAACTAATACTTTAACTTATTTGGGGAAGAATTTATCTAAAATAAAAAAATAATCTAAGACCCGAACCTAACCTCTGCCGAGGCTTTGTTCGTGCGTAAGACATGTCGCGTAAAACCTGCCAACTCTCACTCACAGATGAGACAAGAAAACGATATAAAAAAAAAAAAAAACATTAAAATAAAAGAATTGACTAGTGGGTTGCAGCATCAGCCTCTGATTCTCCTTCCTCATTTCATCATCATCATCCATTTCTCATTCTGATTCTGGTGTGCTACGTCTCAGTTCCTTTTCCATCAGAACCAGAGCTTCAGCTCAAGGAGACCCAAGATCCAACGCAGAAACTGGTATGTGTATTATGCTACCTCCATGTTTCATGCTTTATTGGATCAGTTACTGAAATCTCTGTTTATGGCCTTCAGTTGAAGTAGAGGTTGGGAGTTACAGTTAATTTAATCTCGTCGATTTAAGGGTATCTCGAAATCCGCTTAAAGTTTTGAATATTTTTGAAACTTGTTAGCCGACGCAAAGGCATTAATTTCATTCACGTCTCTCCCTTGACCCTCTTTTATGGGTATTATTTTTTATTCGAAAATGACAGATAGACCCATAGCGGGTCACTGTTTCGTTTCTTCTGTCTTTCTCTCTCCTATCATTTATGGTGGAGGTGGATTCCCGGTGCAACGAGTGCCAGAAAAAAAAAAACTTAGCTGAAATTTCATTGGACTTAAATTCTCAAGCATATGCGTATCTAGTAGAGAACATTACTTTGAATTTGAATCCGGTAACCTTTTCGTGAAAATAAGTTCCAGTACTTTCTAAGCTACTTTATTATTATTATTATTGTTATTTTTTATAAATTAACTAAGTCAATTTTTTTGTTCTTTCTTCTTTGGAGAGAATTCTAATTAAATTAAATGCACATCTATCATGTTCACATGCAGGAATTAAGTATAATTCGCTTTCATTTCAAGATAGGATCTGATTTGGTTTGTACAACATAGCACACATTAGATTATTATCTCATTACCAGAGAAGGGTATCATTGGAATATCTCAAATTCCCATGTCAATTTCTGAGAAACCATCTTCATCCGGTTCTTTGCCGTTGACATCTATAGCAGCTCGAGATGTTGATCCGTTGTTAAAGGATTTGAATGATAAAAAGCAGAGCTTTAGGCGCAACGTGGTGTCGTTAGCGGCAGAGTTGAAGGAGCTTCGTAGTCGCCTGGCCTCGCAGGAAGAATCATATGCTAAAGAAACTCTAACAAGACAGGTACAAGATTTCCCATGTTTTTGGGTTGCTTGTGTGTCTTTTTTTTTTTTTTTTTAACAAAAATTACATTTTTGATATCAATTATTTGTACTTTTTGAGTCTTTGAGGTCGTGGGGTCAGGGAAAATTCATTGTTTTTTTTTAGTCCAACAATTTTTTATGGGTGTTTTTTTCACAGAAAGCGGAAACAAATGCCAAGAGCATGGAATTGGAAATTGACAGGCTGCAGAAGAAATTGGAAGAAAGAAACGAGCAACTTCAGGCTTCAACCTCTTATGCTGACAAGGTTTCAATTACATCTACCTTTCTTTGTTATTTTTCTTAAGTTCATATCTCTTGATCTTATGCCGTGGTCTGATTGGAAATGTTGTTAACTTCTGCTCTATTTTCTTTTAAATTATTTCAAGATTCCCTAATTATGTCTTTTATTTGCTTTTCTAGTTGAATTGGTGTTGGTGATCGTATATGTTTTTTTGCTAGCTTTTCCCCCCTCATTAAACAGAAATTACACACTAGATGCTCATCTTTTAGGGTATTTTTTTTTAACCATTTCACTTGTCCTCTTTCGTTTTAGCGGATCCCGTTGGACTTTGAAGAAAAGGGTGACTAGGTGTTTGGATCTATTAGTATTGTAGTCCCTTTCTTACTTAGATTGTTAATTCCTCAATTTTGTCTATGCCACATTTTTCTGCACTAATTATTAGCTTAGTAACTAAAATTAATAAAATTATTTAAATTAATTTTAAAGGGAAGGATATTTTTTACTCCAGCTTAAGAGCAAGAAGTCTTATTCCCCATCTCCATTGTTAATCTCTGTGCATCTAATAGTTGTAATTTTTTAAGAATTAATAATTAATTAATGAATATAATTCAATTAATTACAATCATCAAATGGACGGAAATCTTGAGACGAGTAGTAAGAATTTTTATTCTTAATGTAGGGATTAGTGGATCGTGCTTTTCTAAGTTGCAAGTGATTTAATAATTTTAATATCAATTTCGTCTTTCATCGTCTACCGGTTGATTTTAAGCATACAAAAGCATGAAGAGTTAATAATTAGGGAAAAAGAAGTATCCTTTCGAACGACACAGACTTGTGTCATTTTAGGTGTTTTACACAAAGTGTGGTCGTACTTTGTATAAAACTGAAAAGTTGATTTTTTTTCTAGTTACATCGTTAACGTGTAAAGTGAAAAAAATGTAACTTTTCATAATTACATAGAGCACGACCGGTCGTACTTTATGTAAATCACTAAAAGGACACAACTTGTGTCCTTTTGAATGTCACACACTAAACCCTAATAATTAATATTTTCAAGTGACCCTTTCAGTGCTAGAACAGCCTAGTATTGTATGCCGTTAGTAATTTGACATCTGTTTATTACTAAAGAAAGCCAAGGAATAGTGGTTCTGTATAATGAGAACTTGTCCATAGATGCTTGCCAGAGTCCAAATTTCTAGATTCTTTGACATGGAAGTCACTTATTGACTTCGTTGGGTTCAACAAGAAAAAATTGTTGCAAAGGTAGGGGTTAGAAGAGGTGCATCTTGACTGGGTAACAATTAGTTTTTGGATGTAACTAGATCTGCTTTGAATCAGGAATTCGCGGCACATAAAACGGAATTAGTTTCAATTTTTTAATTAAATCAATGATATACTAAGCACATATTTTATGGTGGTCACAAACAGACTTTTATTAAGTAGGTGGATATTTTTTTTTTCTCTCGGTGATATTTTAAAAAGAGAAATGAATGCATCTAGCTATTTATTGTGCACTACAATACCTTGCATAAAAGCAAGGATACTAGAATTTGGAATGAGAATAATGTGGATACAGTCAAGACGGACAGTGCATATTTGTGACGTAGACTTGAGTGATATTTGGTATAACAACTTTAATAGCTAGTAATGGCAACAATTTTATCGTAAGATTTAAATTCTTGTGTATCATGAATTACTGTATATAATATCAGCCTCTTATCTTATATAATGATTGTAATACAGGCGTGGTCCAAATTATTAATGAATAAATTTTTGGAAAATCAATTATGCATTTAACCTTTAAATAGATTGTACTCATGGAAGAGTACATAGATGATCTAAGTGAAGATTTGAATAGTTCGCAACAATGGTATCATCAGTGAAGGAAAATATGACAATTCATTCGTACATAAACTGAAGCATTACACTCTGATTATGTCGGGGTCTCCGGGTTTCTTTATTGAGCAACAGGGCAGCACGGTGCAAAGTAACTTCAACATTGTAGGCACAATCTTTGTGGCTGTACTATAACCAGTTAGATTTTCTTCCGATCTTGAAGTATTTATCATGCTTCTGATTATTTTGCAAGTTTCTATGTTTATTTTCTTAAGTCTTAACTATCATTTGATATCTCTTGCAAGTTGCAACCTTAATTTTAAAAGCAAAACCATCCCTAAAGCATGTTTATTTAGCCCAGGCAATAGTCTGAGTATCATTTAATCATAACATATTTTGTATTCTTGAAACAGCATCTGAAGGAGTTGGATGATCTTAGAACACAGCTTGTAGCAACGAGAGCAACTGCAGATGCAAGTGCTGCATCAGCTCAATCAGCACAGCTCCAATGTTTACAACTTCTGAAAGAGTTAGATGAGAAAAATAGTTCACTAAGAGAGCATGAGGATCGTGTTATTAGGCTAGGCGAGCAACTAGACAATCTACAGAAGGATCTTCAGGCAAGGGAATCTTCACAAAAGCAATTGAAAGATGAAGTTTTGAGAATTGAGCATGATATTATGGAAACTCTAGCAAAAGCCGGAGAGAACAAGGATTGTGAATTGCGGAAAATATTAGATGAGGTTTCTCCTAAGAATATTGAGAAGATGAATAAACTTCTGGTTGCTAAGGATGAAGAAATAGCAAAACTTAAGGATGAAATCAAGATCATGTCTGCTCATTGGAAGCTCAAGACTAAGGAGTTGGAGTCACAGGTAAAGCCATCCTGGTTTGCCTGTGGAATTACTAGTTCGTTTTATTTATTGTTTTCTTGTCTTATTATGATGTCCTTGGCTAGTGTATTTAAGGGGCATTGATGTGTTTTTAAAAAACAGTTGGAGAAACAGCGGCGTGCTGATCAGGAGCTGAAGAAGAGGGTGTTGAAGTTGGAATTCTGTCTGCAGGAAGCTCGTTCTCAGACACGAAAACTGCAAAGGGTAAATATAGCTCTTGCACTCATTCTTTGTCATTTAAAAGATGGGAAAACATTATCTACTGTTGTAGAAAAACAAATTTCCATTCCTACTGATAGATCAAAATTTGTGCCATTTTTGTTTGTTTGTTTTTTTGAAAAAATATGGTGGGACCTTGTATTTATGTATCTACAGGAAAATGGCTTATCATCCGCAACAGAAGAAAACAAACGCCCTTAAAAGTTTCTTAATGTTCTTGTTGTTTACAGTAAATTAGGCTCTTTCAGTGCTTCTTTTTGAACTTTTGATTTGAATTATTTGATCAAATAATGGCCTTACTTAGGCAACTTACTGAAGTTTATGTCTTTTGTTTGTGGGATTTGCTTTCGTCATTTAACATGACTATAAAAAGTTTCCTATACTCACAACATTTTGTGGGACCCACATGTTTTGAAGAAAAAAAAAAAAAGCTACAGCACTCAAAATAACAAATCTCTGTAACATAACAGAATCATTTTTTCTTATAACGTAACTCTTATAAAATCCTTTGTTTATTAATGTCCTAGTCAAATCTCACGTTTCATTGTATGGGTTTGTGAACAGATGGGAGAGCGACGGGACAAAGCAATTAAAGAACTGAGAGATCAATTAGCAGCAAAGCAACAAAGACGAGTTGTGGATGCAGAAGAGCAAAATCAGAATTTCTGGGACACCACCGGATTCAAAATCGCCGCATCCATGTCCATGCTAGTCTTGGTGGTATTTTCCAAGCGGTGAAACCATTCCTGTATCCAAAACGATCCTTGTATATAGAGGAAACTGATACCTTCTCAAGTTTATTCTAGGAGTCTAGAGAAGCTGTAGAAGCCGTTTTGCATTGTAGAAACACAGTTTTAGAGATAATCTAGATTTAGCTTGTGCAATATGTAGCATCAGCATCTTAGGTATGCATCTTGTTAAAATTTGGTAGAGAGAATTTTGCTGTTCTTGTGGTTATACTCTGTTTGATTCCAGATTAATCGCTGCCCGTTGCGGTTGGATACCTGATGGTTTATACCAAAAAATAAAATAAAAATGTAGCATCAGCATCATTAGTCCTTTTTTCTATGTTCTATAAAACTACACTGCAGAAGTTGCGCTTATATGTTTAAGGCCGTTTATCGGATTATTATTCTGAGTTCTACTTGTTAGCCAACCTTTAGATTGGTGACGAGCATGATAGTTAAAATTGGGATTTAAATGTTAAAATCTCGATTTTAACGATTTATTTTTGTTAAAACGATTTAGATTTCACTTAATATCGTTTTCAATATAAAATTTTGATTTAGACATTTACTTAAGTCCCGATTTTAAGATTTAAATTCTGATTTTAACTATTGAAATTGTGTTAAGCAAGTTAGAAAAATTGTTGAATATAACATTGCTGATGTTTCATCCGAAGATGAATGGATTGTGGAAAATGAAGGAACTTTATCGCATGATGAAAGTTTAAATGAAGACAATTTTGAATGATGTAGTTGAAGATCACGTGGAACAGAATGTCTTCGATGATAATAACTTGAATGATTTATTAGCTTAGACCCTTAGAATGTGACAATTGTATGCAAATGTATAAAGATGGTGGAAGGTAGTCTATTTTTCTTAATTTTTTTTATACATAAGCATATGTATATACAAATTTAATTTCAGAGTGCAAGTAAAATCTACGATTTCTATTACGATTTTAAGATTTACAATTTTTTATTTCTTTTTTGATTTTAATTAAAATTCCGATTTTAACTACCTTCGTCGGGAGAGGTTAATTTATGTATTTCTCGACAAGAAAATGATAGGATGGTTCTTAAACGTGACCATACAGTTACCATACTGATGCTGACAAGAAACGTCGCTGGTGGACCTTGTTCCCACTCATTTTCAATAGAAAATCATGATATGTCAGCAGCTTTATAATGTGCGTTGAAGTATGTATTGTCGTGCTGGCTAATGTCTACTCTACTTTGGATCTTAGCAAACCTGTTCATATGCGTCGGTTAAAAAGTCAAGGCGTTTGGCTTATGGCCGTTAGTGCTTTCTCATTATTTTCTTTGACAATTGAATGAGCTCTAACGTAAGAATTGGCATCCAATGCATTAAAGTGCACGGAGGTGTCTTCTTGTGCATATAGAAAGCACCAGTCTCAGTCCATAAAGACTAGAATGTAATGATAATGAGGTTCGATTTTTCACTTGGTTACTTTTTTCTCTCCCAACAGTTTATCTTTTTTGTACTTTGATTCAAAATCACTCTGTTTCTTGTGTTATAAAATGCAACATTTTGCCTTGTGTGGTTCTCTAACGCATATAACCTTCATGTGATTTTTTATATATTAAATTTGAAAAGAAAGACGTGTTAAGAGTTTAAGAATTTGTTACTAGCTGAGGTTTAATTTCATGTTACTAACGGCATAATGGACGTTCTTGTTAAACGCGTTACGCATCAGTTATTAGCCCTTTCGAAGTTTACAAGAGTATCATTCAAACCTTGGCAATTGAGGTAATGTCTGACTTGGTTTAGAATTTAGATATTTTTATTGATAGGTAATGTCCAATTCTACTAATTTTTTTGATTGATTCAATGAATTTACTCTGACATTGTAATAATGAAATCTTCTCACCTTAATTTTTTTTACCTCCCACAATAATAATAATAATGAGATAAAAGGCCGTGCGCTATTTTATCTGAGTGCCCTTTGGAAGTGGTTCCTCGTTTGTCAGTCATGAACCTTCACAATTTACCACAGGGGTTGCCTTACACATAAACCGTGACACATTTTTTATCCATCTAAATCTTGATAGAGTCTTAGATATCATAATGAACTCTTTCTTTTGATGAATAACAATCCTTTATTTATGCAAATCAATTTCCAAAACAACTTCGACCCATTTACACTGAACTACATACTCCATAAAGTAATTAAAAGAAAAGAAAAAAAAACAACTAAAGCTCTCAAAATATATGTACATGACCAATATTGACCATAGTCTGTTGTACAGCCTAGAAACCATAAGTAGCAGCTACAGTTTCAAGGCACCCATAGACCTGTGTTCTGCATGTAATGTTACAAAACAATTCTAACCTATAGCTAGAGACAGTATCGAGCTTCTCATACTATGATCAGAATGGAAAACTCGTTTGTCTATAAGCGCACACCGAGTCTTGCAGTGACAAATGATATCATCAGAACAATGCAGCTAACAAAAGGTTTCAGACCTACAGCATGCGAGTCCGATGTGGTATTTACAACTGGGGGGCTATCGAATCCAAAACCAGGCATTAGACCTGAGGCTGGGTTGCTTGAATTTAACACTGAAGGTGGGGTACCATAGCTGCAAGAAGGTAGCATTATACAGGACCATGATTAGAATGCTTATTGGTGCCATAAAATTATTGAAGCCGTGAAAAAAACTTACTATCTCACTTACCCAACAGTGCCTGCTCCTGAAGATGACGGTGGTGTTGGTGGTGCTGTTGGAATTGATGATGATGCAGGAGGTGTTGGAATTGATGATGCAGGTGGTGTTGGAATTGATGATGCAGGTGGTGTTGGAATTGATTGTGTAGGTGGTGTTGGGGATGATGACATTGGAGTTGATGATGATGGGAAAATGCAAGAACCCGAACCTGTTCACAATGCAAAAGAGCCAGTTAAAAATGGTCATCACTCATCAATTTTGCTAAGCATAAGATTGAAGAAAAAAAGGTTTATTAAACTATTGAGATCTTACTTGGGTTTGTGTTAACTAAGGTGGCAGTCCCTCCAAAGTCACAACTTGTTGGCGCTGGATTCTTTTGATAATAGCTGTTGAAGGCAAAAGAAGCATGGTTTTGCAAAGTTAATGGATTGTAACAACTACCACCCTGATTTATTTGAGAACAATCTGCACCGCCCATTCCACAAGCGTAATCCAGTGCTGCTTGAAGAGAAGCTTGTGGAGCTCCTGTCTTTGCCACACACCAACTCTGCCCCTGACTGGAAGGAGAATTATTTGTGTTTGCAGGAGGAGGTTGAGGGTTTATGACAGGAACACTTCCTGATGGAGGTGGATAAGATGTCACAGGATTGGTTACTGGTTGTTGTGTTGGATTGGTGACTGGTGTGGTTGGATTAGCAGGATTTGTGGGAGGTAAAGGCACAGGTGTGGTGGTAGCAGGAACTGCTACAGGCATTGCAGATGGATTGTTGGGAGAAATTGTGACAGGATTGGTGGAAGGAACTGTGATGATGGTTGGTGTATCTGGGGGTGTGATGACTGGTGTAGCTGAAGTTGGATTTGTAGGGAAAACTGTGTTTGGTGGGCTGGTTGTGTCATCTAGAGTTCTTCTTTTGTGAAATTTGCTCAGGATCTCTCTGCGGGACACATGAAACAATTCTTCCTCTTCCCTTTTGAGTTGTGCAAAATCTTCTGGTGTATGTACTTCTGCATATAATGCAACTATTCTTCTAGTAATATGAGTTCTTGTTTCTAGATATTTGGACACCCTCTCACTAAATTGAGCTACTTCCATTGAACTGGGGATAACTAGGCTCTTGATTGTCACAACCATGGGAACATCTTTGCAAGGAAGAATAGAAGCAGCAAGAGCAGCTTTCTTGATAATAGACTGAACAAAGTGATCCCCCATGCTTAATTCTCCATCAATGCTATCTTCTATCATGACAAAGGATTTTATTTCCTTTATAAACGAAACAATCCTACGAATATCGTTTTCATGTGATGCATTCAACTTTTGTAAGAATGAAAGTGGAAATGCTACTGACACTTTTACTTTGTTGCCCATGTGAAAATTGCTGAGAACTGAATGAATCGATTTCAGAGTACGTAGAAGCAAAGGCATCTCATTTTGGGCTGAGCACTCATTGTCACAGCTTACAATGATGCTTTTGAAGTTCAGTAGATGAGCTTTTAGAACCGAAATTCCAGAAGGTTTTGAAGTAATGAAATTTTCAACTTGGTTTTTGTTTAAGTAGAAATCAATTGACACGTTGGAGTTGGTCAGAGTGCACAAGATCCTGTGATCTGATACAAAAACTCGAATCTGAGATGGGGAAACCTTGCTTTGTTGAAGGAATGATATGGTTCTCGCAGTTGTTGAAGTGTCTCCTCTCTCACGATAGGAGAAACCAACCAAAGCTCCTGCAGAAAAGTGAAAGAAGAGGATTAGAATCTGAACAACAAGTTCAATTCGTTAGTCACTTGAATTTGAGCAGCTTCCACGACTGATTTCGCTACAAGAACTAAGTGGGGTAGTTCAAAAACTAAAGACAACAAATTAAACATCATAAAAACAAGTAACTGTTGCAGTTTCAGAAACCAAAACAAGCCAAGGAGAAACTGCTAAATTTGGACTTTTGCTAAGAATAATCACCAGAACAAACAAATATGATTACTATGAGTATGTGGTACTATGAGTGTATGCAACTCACCTGAACAGGAGATAGTGAGAAAAGAGAGAAACAAGAGGCGCATAGAAGCTTCCATGGCCATTATCAGAGACAGAGAGTGTAACTGGTGTGTAGAATTTCAGTGTGATTCATACAGAAGCAGTGCTTTAAAGACATGGCTTAGAACGTGAATAAAAAAGCCCAGAGGGGCGGGGGTGTGTCCAAGATAAAGGTGAGGAGTGAGAAGAGGGAAAAAAGTGACAAAAAGAAACACAACCAAGTGATAATGATAAAGAAAAGATGTTAGACTCGTTATTACTTTGTCACGAAGGATTCTGTTGGGAAGAACATATTTTCTTTCCTAAATAGTGTTGATAACTTAATTTCATCAATAAAGGATATTACTATCCAGGAGATATTTGGTTAAGCATTTATTTAGATGGATACTAATATCAATTAAAATTAATATTAACTATTTTTATAAGATACCTAAATTAATGGAATTTATTGTTTGGCCGTTTATTTAGTACAAATAAATATTATATCTTTATATTTTATATCATTGCATTTAGGGATGTAAATAGACCGAGCCAAATTAAACTTTAGTTTAAATAGTTAAATTATAAATTTGATCAGACATATGTTAAAAAAATAAAAATAAAAAAGGCTTGGTCTAGATCCGCTAATTTATTTAAGCCTACCAAACCTTTAGTTCCTATTAAGAATTTTAAAAAACAAATAAAATAATTATTTAAATATTTATTTTATTTTATTTTAATTAAAATAAATAGAAAAAAGTGTGTGTCATTTTATAAACACAAAGAGGAGTGAGTTTCACTGAAAAAATTAAAGACAAAAAAAATAAAAGTGTGAGTCTCACCTCTTTGTGTCTATAAAATGACACAACTTGTGTCATCTAAAATGACACACACTTTTTTCAAATAAATAATGGGTAAAGTGAGTGTCATTTTAAAGAGTGTAAAGTTGTGTCATTTTAAGAGAGAGAAAGAGATAGATAAAGGAGGAGAGAGAGTTGACAAAACAATAAAGGTGTGGGTCCCACCTATTTATGAGAGTGAAAAGATATAAGTTGTGTCATTTAAAAGAATAAACATTTTTCCCATAAATAATACAACATAGATTGATATGTAGGCTAGACCTTATAAGAGTAAGCCTATGACTTGTTTTTTATTTGGATAAACTACTGATATTTTATACGGAAGGCAATCTTGTTTGAGTCAAAAACATCTCCATCAAGTTTGGGCTAGCTCTTCCAAAAGAAATCTTTTACATTAACTGTGGCTTGTTTTTTAAATAAACTTTATTAAAGCTTGAATCTATTATATTTTATTGAATATTTTATGTCAGATCAGACTTGAACCTATCTGACCCATTTAAACTCCTAATTGTATCTTATTACATTAATTTATAAATTTTTTATTAATTATCTATCTCCTTCCTCTCTATATATTCAAATCCCTATTCAATAGATTGGGTTGGAAATGTCTTGGTCAGATAATGAGAATCAACATGCTTTTTATTGCTACTCTATCTTTCTCAAAGCCTTTACATGAACGTGCATGGCAAATACTGGGACACACATGCCCTTCAATTTATATCATGCACATGTGATTATGTGTAGCATGTTCCTCAGCTAAGGGCCTGTGCTTTTGGATTCCATGACTGCCCATTGCACAAACCACGTGTTAGATGCAGTGATTGTTAAGTGCAGCTTCGGAAAATTAGACAAGAAAACCATAACTCGAAAGACTTAACTTTGCAATGAAACAAATTAACATATTTTTTATTGAGAAATTATTTTGGACTATTTTTATTAATTAAAATATTTTGAGTGTATCGATAAAAAAAAGAGGGGGGAAAGGGCCAGATAAAAGCTAATAGTTTTGCTTTAATACGGATGAGATCAGGAGGTAATATGGATTACTGTGAACTTTTGTGTATATCTAATATTATCTAAAAGTCGGTGGGTGACGTAAAATGATGCTGTTTCAACTTTTACACTAATATAAGTTAGGGTTTTATAAAGGAGAATTGAAATCTCATGTTGAGGAGATAAAAAGCATGTGAGACTCGTATGTTAGAAAAAATTATATGTAAGACCCATGTCAGCACGAAAATCGAAGAGTGTGTAGAAAAATTATAATTCTCACATTAAATGATAATTATAAAACCCTATAAGTTATACTTGATCATTTGTATTTAATAATTCTAATTTATTAAATGTGTAGATTGTTAGATGTAAACCGATTAAAAGTTAAAATTCGATAAAAAAAAATTATACCGATATAAGTTTAAAGTTTATACCAAAATTAGTCTTCTTCACTCAGTAAAAACCAGTATTAATAGATAGATATCTAACAAAAGTATAAGATTAAATTGTAAAGAAGTTATTCAGCTGAGTAAGACAAAAAAGTTTATTTTCTATTTTCTTTTTTTCATAGAAAGTTTGTGCTCTGTACTAGTCATATGCAAGCCTCGTTTAATTTAAAATATTTAGACAACATGGGTTGCGCCTTATTTAATTTAAAAATATTTAGATAACATGGGTGGGACAACCCATGTGGAGTAATCTTGTTTTGCCTTCTCCCCTTTCAAGTTTCAACTTAATCAAAAGCACTTTCTGACTATATCTCCAGCCAAAAGCAAAGCAATTTAGAGAGAAACATAGTGTGGTTGCAGAGTCACCATTGATAAGGCTGATGCAGTGTATATGTAAAAAGCGTTCATTCTAAATCTAAAAACCACAAAAAAAGAGTAAGAATACAAGTGTTTGGGGCCTTTGGGCATTTATTAATTATAAAGAGGTTTATATTTTTATTTAAGAGTGATTTAATATTTTAAATATATTATAATTGAATATGCTAAAAAGAGAAGATATTCTCACTACCAAAATTTTTCACTACCAACTTACTACCTTCCTATTTACCATTGGATCAAAGAGAGAGAATACTAAAAAATTTTAAAGAGAGAGAAAATGTTAATCTAATGATAATTAGATAGGTAGTAAGTTGATAGTAAAAAAATTTGATAGTGAGAATATCCCTTAAATTGATTTCCCTGGGTTGTTAGATAATTTTGTTGTTTGTTATGTAAAACAAGTTTTTTTTCTTTTCAAAAAAAAGGAAGAAAATTTAGGTGGTCTTGGGAGAGTTTTTTGGACCATGAATTTAGACATTAGACACCGGCTGAAAGAAAGGTAAGGAAACACATAAAAGTGTTTTCTGTAGATAATGCGATGAAAAGTATTGTCTGCTATTACATGATTACGGAATTAAGTGAGATGGGAATTACAAACGTCAAACGTCACGACACTGCAAAGTGCAAACACATCATGCGCCTTACAAGATTTATCCTTTGATACATAAAACTTGTGGGATAGAGAAAGCTGTCTACTTGAAACATTAGACTATGTCATAAATTTTAGTGAAGACCCACTAAGAAACATTTGTAAGAATTGAAGTCATTATCTTTTGTCAATGATAAAAGTATATTTATCTGATAATTTAAGCTGAAAAATATTTCTGCAGGAGATAAATTATCTTCATTTACTTTTAAAATGACGTTGTTTTGAGATTGAAAGATTATAAAATTATAATTATAAAGACTATAATAATCTTAAAATAAATTAAAATTATAAAATACTATGATTTTCAACTTAAAATGACGTTGTATTGGACTTATTGTAGATAACTTATCTGCAGTAACAACAGAAAAAACGAACCATAATTTAAGCTTTTAAATTGAAATGATAGTTATTTTATGATTGAAGGATCTAAATTTCATACTCTTACGAAAGATAGAAATGAAAAAGCTTCCTATAAATTGTAAGCTTCTTTATATAATGTCCAACTTTTCCTTAGGATATTCATTTTATTGCAAATCTCTATTTTGCTTGAATTAACCTGATCAACTTCCGATAGACAACCTTTTTTTTCTTCTAGCTCAGTTCCTGAGAACCTATAGCCCTATGAATTTTCGAATCTTATAAAGTTGTCATCTTTGTAGCTTAGATTAGTCAGCATAATCAGTAAGCTAGATTTCAATAAAAAGATTCCCATGATCTTGTCAGCATATCCATATCCCACTTCCAAAAACATGCTTCCAAATCAAATGGTTAAAACAACATTTATTCTTACTACCAAAATCTGACTAATCACTTTTTGTTTTTATCACAATCACATAATAATTCAAATATTGAATTCTTATCAAAACAGTTTCAATTATAATCACTCTCAAATTATTCTACAAGTCACCTGAATTTAATATTTCAGGGGCCAACAATAAAATTACTATATATGTGAACTGCAATATTTTCGAATATGTTTTGGGACGAGAGAGGGGTCCCTCAACTATTTCACCCTATCTAAGTCATGCAAGCAGTCCAAGTATTCATATGGTGTTTTTAATTAATTGACAATTTAGTTTTTTTTTTTATAATCACAATTTAGTTTTTTTACTTATTATGATTACATGTAATTGTTATAAACAGTTTATATTAATTTTATTTTAAGTATTCATTTGGCGGATTTTTTTAGCTTCTCTTCTTCTTAAAATAAAAAATTTGACCAAACATATATTTTTTAAGCACTCTTATTATAAAAAGAGTTTCTTTATAATGAGTATAAAAAGAAAAAAAAAAGTAAAAACTCCCTAGAGAAGTTTTTCTTAAATGTACAGACGCTTTTTAGGAAAAAAATTATAAATTACTTTACAAAAAAAAAAAAAATTAACTTGAATTTTAAAATAATTTTTAAGCTAATTTTTTTATATAATAATCAAATAATGTTTAATTTTATTTTTAACATTAGTTTAAAAGTAATTTTTAACTTAAAAAATAAAGTTTCTGTGTATATACTTAAAAAAAAAAATACGCATGTATTTTCATATCCAATTGGCCCAAAAGTCTCAACTTGAAAGTCCATATAAGAATGGGCCTTGACTTATAAGACCATGTTTGACGATTATGGAGCCGAGCTTATTTGGAGTGTGTGTATCATTGTATGTGTAGCTTGTTTTTAGGAAGAAAAATAGAAAATGACATATACCACTAGATTAGTAAACCAACACTTTGGCAAAAAAAAATTCTCATGTTACAAGAATTTTTTCAAAAGAAAATAATAATTATGTATTACGAATAGTACATAGTTATAAATTCTTGCAAAAAAATAAAAATAAAAATTATATATTACAGGTAATACATAATTATAATATTAGAGTTTTTTTATATCCCTTATAATTATGTATTACCTGTAATACATAATTATTTTTTTATAAGAATTCCTCCAATAAAAGACCCTTATTTTATATAATAGTTTAAGAATAGATCTTGTATTGTATTATATTTGAAATTCGAATTTTACATATGCAAATAAACGAGACATTTATAAATTTATATATTAAAGGCATATATGCAATTAAATGTGCTAATTATTATCAATTACATGAAGAAAGGACTTAATTATGACTTTACTCGTGAAAGAATCTATATTCCGGAAGAAAAAATGATTTTGGATATAATAGGCGACTTGTAAAGTATAAATCTCATTTTAAATATTTGGAGATTAAATTAAGGGAAATAATTATCTCATGTTACATGAGATGATAATTATCTCATATAACAGAGATAAAATAGTGAGGTCTACTATATTTTTTTTTAAGTAGTGGACCTCACAATTTTATCTCTGTTGTTGTTGTATGTTGTATGAGATAATTATCTCATGCAACATGAGATTAATAGATACCTTAAATTAAATCTTTTTGCTCATTTTGTCTTTTCCGGAAAAACCCTTTCTTCTTTAATATGAGAATTGTTTTCTCGTATAAACGAGAGATCATTTTAGATGTAATAATTTTTTCATTTTTTATTTTTTATTTATGGTGAGTCCATTTGAATTATGTATGTGTAAGAATTTTTCTAACGTGGTGTTGAATGAGAAATGGCCGGGAAGAAATCTAGAAAAGCTAGGGACAAGATTACTGTTAGTCAAATACTTACTGTCTCGAAGGAAATCAATGAAGTGCGGATTGGGCGAGTATCATCAGCAAATGAATTTGTTCATCGTGATGGAATGCTTCTTACAATTGATGATAAATCCAGTGACAATGAATCAGACAAAGTTATGGTTCATTTAGGTATGGGGAAGATATATATATATATATATATATATATATATATATATATATATATATATATATTTTTGTAAATGTCTTAATTATATTTCTACACTCAGTGTTGTTAAAACTTTCACAAGGGGAACATTGGTTATTATATTTATTCTTTCTTTCATGCTCCAAAAAATTGATAGATATGTGGCTCCCCGCTCCTGAATATGCAAATACCGGTCTTTTAAATGAAAAGAGTGATATTTATAGATTTGGTGTTTTGCTATTGAAAGCAATTGCTGGAAGAGATCCATCCAGTTGAATATGGCCGTCTGGCACAGGAAATGAGTAAAGTTAATTTTTTTTTTTTTTTTTAATCATGGGAAGAGTTACTAGTTTATCACTTGAACTTGCAATCTTGGCAAACTCAAACCTAGCTTATGAAATATTGATGAATCAGTTCCAAAATTTCTTAGTTATTTTTCTTTCTAATCTCATAATTTCTAGCATCACCACAGCCACTCACTGTTGCTGCTGCAGTATAGATTACAATTTGATGCAGAATTTGGATGATTTATTTAGGACTTCTATTTGGGAATTAAGAGTTTTTAAAGTTGATAAGGGGATGCTATATTATCAGTTAGGGATTTGTCATTTGTTTGGATAGGGATCTTCCTTTCCCAGTTTATTTCTTGTTCGGTAATTACCTTATTTCTAATCCATAATTCCATTTTCAGCGCATCTTTTCTCAAAATGAATTTATTGGCCTTTCTTATTGCATCCTATCTAGCCCATGTCAGTCTTGGTCATCTTTTTGTTTGAGAGATATAAAATCATTAATATAGCATCAGCCAACACCTTAAGGTATTAGGTTGAATTAATTCTTTACACTTTTTATCATTTGGCCTGCATCAACCTCTCAGTTTCTTATCATATCATAAATGGATACATACTCTCATACTTAAGGGATTGGTTTTATTGGATGATTTTAGACTGCTATTGGACTTAATCCATCGTGGGGTTAGCACAGAAATTGAATCCCAGAAGGAATATTTTGACACAGACGGGAGTGTGATTCAGGGTTCTAGATCAGGTAACCGCAGATATGACCAAAAGATTGAGATTCCTTTTTATGATTTTTGGGATGCATAAAGTAAGGGTAATTTTTTAAGAAGATTTTTAACTTGCCTGCACAAGATAAGCGTGGGAGAGAGTTTGGAAATCAAACTAGTTTGGTTCGAACACTCTCGGATTCATATAGGGGATGACTCTCCCCACAAGCTTCTTACCACTTAAATCGTTAGTTGTTGAGGTGTCTTCTTTCTTTTGTTGTAGAAGGATAAATATTGTTTGTGTTTTGGGCGGAGTTATTTTCAAGAACCGAAATATTGGGGGGTGTACAAAATATCATAGCTTTACAAGATTTGTTTGATAAATCTGTTGCTTGTCATTGGGGAAAGTAAAATATGCAGTTTATGATTTTACCTTCTTGAGACATTTTGTGCTCAATTCATTCGTTTCACACTATTTCATTTCATTTCATTGCTTTTCTAGATTCTTTACATGAAAATATACTGATCCTTAAAGCCACTTTATTGGGTAGTATATTATATAAGTGCTTAGTATTTGTAGTCCTAAGCACAAAAAGTAAAATATGTTTTATAAATCTGTTGGCTTGTCATTGGGGAAAGTAAAATATGCAGTTTATGATTTTACCTTCTTGAGACATTTTGTGCTCAATTCATTCGTTTCACACTATTTCATTTCATTTCATTGCTTTTCTAGATTCTTTACATGAAAATATACTGATCCTTAAAGCCACTTTATTGGGTAGTATATTATATAAGTGCTTAGTATTTGTAGTCCTAAGCACAAAAAGTAAAATATGTTTTATAAATCTGTTGGCTTGTCATTGGGGAAAGTAAAATATGCAGTTTATGATTTTACCTTCTTGAGACATTTTGTGCTCAGATCATTCGTTTCACACTATTTCATTTCATTGCTTTTCTAGATTCTTTACATGAAAATATACTGATCCTTAAGCCACTTTATTGGGTAGTATATTATTATATAAGTGCTTAGTATTTGTAGTCCTAAGCACAAAAAGTAAAATATGTTTTATAAATCTGTTGGCTTGTCATTGGGGAAAGTAAAATATGCAGTTTATGATTTTACCTTCTTGAGACCTTTTGTGCTCAGATCATTCGTTTCACACTATTTCATTTCATTCCTTCTCTAGATTCGTTACATGAAAATATGTTGATCCTTAAGCCACTTTATTGGGTAGTATATTATATAAGTGCTTAGTATTTGTAGTCCTAAGCACAAAAAGTAAAATATGTTTGATAAATCTGTTGGCTTGTCATTGGGGAAAGTAAAATATGCAGTTTATGATTTTACCTTCTTGAGATTTTTTATGCTCAGATCATTCGTTTCACACTATTTCATTTCATTCCTTTTCTAGATTCGTTACATGAAAATAGACTGATCCTTAAGCCACCTTATTGGGTAGTATATTATATAAGTGCTTAGTATTTGTAGTCCTCACATCATTGAGTTGTAGTTGGTATTATAGGTAAACTCTAACAAATGCTGGGAAAATAGGAAAATGAAACAATTTTCATCCATGACTTTGTTATAGTTAAGTCAGTGAAGCATTTGTGTGCATAAGTAAATTTAATGTGCAATCACTGCAATTTAGCCCTTGAATTCAGTTGGTTAACTTTCTTGATGACGTCTGAACCAATAAACTTAAGGTTCTGATAATGAATTAGGGGACTCAGGATGTCACAGGCGAGGGGCTCTCGGCAACGGAACAAACATAATGGATAGCGATTGTAATAAAGTTCAGTTTTCTCACATGAGCTTTTGTAAGTACATTGATGCTGCTATGCAGCTAGTCTCTTGTATCTTTCAAATCCTCAGCTCAACATACGTATTTTTGCATGTCAGAAAGATCTAACATACTCTGGAGATGGAGAGAAAAGGGAGAAGAAAGGTTTAAAAAAGAAGATACAAAAGAAAAGGCAGAAACATGCCATAGATCTTAGGTATGAAAGCAGGTAGAGAACGAACATATTATCATTTTCTTGGCAAACAACCTTATTCTTGGGGCTTCTCCCACTTGAGAGGCTTCACCACCTCCCATGTGAAGTCAGGGTCATCTCTTCCAAAGTGGCCGTAAGCAGCGGTCTTCAAGAACCTGCCATTTCCACCCCTTTTAAGGTCCAAATTAATGGAAATCATTCCTGGCCTGAAATCAAAATTTTCCTTCACAAGCTCCAGAATCTCCTTGTCAGTTATCTTCCCAGTGCCGTAAGTATCAATAAACACTGATAATGGATCAGGAACACCAATTGCATATGATATTTGCACAATGCACCTTTTAGCTAGTCCATTAGCCACAATACTCTTGGCTGCCTGTCTAGCAAGGTAAGCTCCACTCCTATCCACCTTGGTGGGGTCCTTCCCAGAGAAAGCACCACCACCATGCGCTCCCCAACCACCATATGTGTCAACAATGATTTTGCGCCCTGTGAGACCTGCATCACCATGAGGGCCACCAATGACAAAACGGCCAGATGGATTGAGATGAAAAATGGTCTTCTCATCTAAATACTTCTCAGGTATAACAGGCTTAATAACATGCTCTTTAAGGTCAGCAGCAATCTCATCATTGGTAACAGTTTCATCGTGCTGAGTGGAAATGAGAACAGTGTGGACTCGTACTGGGATCATAGCACCATGGTCATTACAATATTCCACAGTGATTTGTGTTTTTCCATCAGGTCTCAACCAAGGACATGTCTCATTCTTGCGCACTTCAGTGAGCCGGGCACCAAGCTTGGTTGCAAGGACATGACTGAGAGGCATAAGCTCAGGTGTTTCATCTGTGGCATAGCCAAACATGTGACCCTGATCACCAGCACCTATTTCTTCAGGTGGCTTTGTAAGATGGCCATGGACTCCTTGAGCAATGTCAGGGCTTTGCTGCTCCAGGTACACCAATACCTTGCAGTTGTCAGCATCAAGGCCAACATCACTTGACACAAACCCTATAGAACGGCACGTGTCGCGTACAATCTTCTCATAGTCTACATTGGCTTTTGTGGTGATCTCTCCAAACACCATGACCAAGTTGGTCTTGGTGCAGCTTTCACAGGCAACCTTGCTTTCTGGGTCTTGCTCCAGGCAGGCGTCAAGCACTGCATCAGAAATCTGATCACAGAGCTTGTCGGGATGACCCTCATTCACAGACTCGGAAGTGAACAAGAAGGTGTCCATTATCCTCAAGTCTCAAGCTACAAGAAGCAAACCAGTTGATGGATTAAAAAATATGATTTAGATGCTTCTAGTTGAAATGTCTAATTGGCTAATGACAAAAACAAAGATTAAAGAGTACAGCTCATGAATCAAGGAAACTGAACAGCTTATGGTACAATTTTGGAACAGAATTCGCTAAGAAACATCTAGGGGACGATCTTTTTTGTCATATGCTAACGCACAGAATAGAATCACAGATACATAAAAGTAAAAGTGAAGCTCCACTAGGAAGAGAATATTGAGACAAATTGATCAAAAGAAGAGAAAAGAAACTGATGTCAATGACCTTAAAAGCATAAAGAGATATGCTTCACATTCAAGCAATCAAAAAAGGCATCTAACTATCTTCGAAAAAGACGCAAAAGTTAATAGAGAACAAAACTATTTTCAAATCATAAGAGAGCACCAAAAAGTTGCTAGAACACGAAAGTTGTTCAACTTGCTGAACATTTTTCAACTTTACACAGATGGAGAATGCCCAATCCAGGAGAAGGATGCGTATGATCAGAAATATTACTGGATCTATCAGTTTTAGCTGTAACTATAACTCAGAATATGCACACACACAGACACACACAAAAACCGGTGACAGTGAAATCTCAACTAACCATCTAGATTTCTACCAGTTTAATTTGTTGTCATGCTGTAAAATAACCAAGGTCCAATTGCACGGATCGAAGCAAAAGACTACTTCAACCAGAACAGTTTGATCATGTTCAGCAAAAGAACCAAATGCATGCAAAGAAAATGAGATGGCACGAAGCATAATTAACGGAGAATATTCATCATTTATATGAATTTCATAACCAAGCACGAAATGAAACAAACTTATTGTGGTTTAGATTCATCATTCATGTGAATAAAGTGAGAGAAGTTGACAACATGAGTAGTGAGGAGTGACAGACACAAACCTTAATCACAAGATTTTAGAGGGTCTTCGCTCTACAACTGCTTTTCGATTTTGCTAAATGCTTTGTGAGTCCTACACCGAGTATTCGGGTTCGCATTTATAGACACAACTGATACGAAATCTTTTAATATAAAATCATTTTGTATTATTTATAAATTATTTTAGTACTTTTCTTTCAAAATAATTTTGGTTTCAAGTTTTATATGAGATTAAAAAAAAAAAGGTTACTGAATATAATTCTCTTCGTGACTCTTTTGTGAGTTTTGACGCATACACTAACCCCAATTGCATAAGTTTCTATTATATACTTTTTCTTCTTCTCTCCCTAATTATGTTTTCTAATTTTTAAAGTTTTTTCCTCAAGAAGCGCGACGCTTTCCATTTCTTTCAATTTATTTTTAGGTTAAAATATAGGGGAAAATAATTTTTCTTTTTAGGAGATAATGTTGTGTCTTTTTAAGTGAAATTATAGTGTTTTACTATAATATCTAATTAATTATTTTTTATTTATCAGAATTTAATTTTTATTTATTTTGTAAGAGAAAAATACTTATCATTTTAAAAGATATATTTTATTTTTTTTAAGTAAAATGATCGTGTTTTTATACATATTTGTTGATTTTTTACTTTTTCTATCCTTCACAATACTCTTTTTTTCTCCTACTCATAATTTTGTGGAGGAAAAAGAATATAAAAAATTAAAAATATATATCAAAATATTGTCATTTTATTTTAAATGACACAAATTATATTCTTTAAAAGGCTAACAATATTTTTTTTATTTTAATTGGGTAAATGTTCTAGTGAAATACTATGTTTCACATAAAAAGACACAAAATTGCTTCCTTTAAAAGGAATAAAAACTTTTATCGTGATATTTATTTTTGATTTAATATTTATGTAAAAAATTTAATTTGTTTTTTATATGCATGATCTTTCGCTGTCTGTTAATGGTTAATTGGTTATAACACTATTTATCATAGAGACTAAATTAAAAAACTGTAAAAATTTAACAAAAAATATATTTAGAACTTGTTTTTATTATGAAATGGGACTTCTTTTTCTTTTCCATCAAGCATTGTGTGTGTGTGTATCAAGCATATTTTTTCCGTGTGATAGAAGTCGATGAAATATAGTTGTACGATATATATTTACACAAATTCAAACAACCTTGAACAGAATTTTTTTTTTAATCTCTAATAAAATTGTGACCAACATTATTGCTATAAAAACAGGAATCAAATAAGAAAATATCTCACATCGCAAGAAAAAGAAGATGAAGAGAGAGAGAGTAAGTAGCAGTCTGTGAACTAATTGAATATAGGTAGCATTCTACAGAGGAGAAATATTTTTTTATCAGTAAAATATAATTATTGAAAAAATGGTAGGAAAGTCAGTTTGATGAAAAAGTTTAAAAAAAGATGTTTGATTAACCGAAATATTACCGGAGAAATTTATTTAAATTTGCAAAGTCTATGTTCGGGAGGAACTTCACACCTGTTTTTTCACTTCTCCAATTATCTCAAAATATCACTTCTCAAGTGGTATTTTGTTCACCGAAAAATCAACACCAAAGTCGTTTCTCAACCATCCTATTTGTCTATATTTTTTTTCAAAAATTTAAACCAAACGTGATATTTTCAAATACTCACCCACACTTCCCAATCAAACCCATAATAAAATTTCTACCAAACATACCCATATAGTGACAATACTACTTATAACCTAAAATATGACGTAATTGTATTAAAAAATATATAACGTAATTAGTAATTCCTTTCTTTATTCTGCATTAATGGAGTGGTTATATGCTTGGATTATCATGTAATTAAATAAAGGGTTTTTGTTTTATCCTTTAACATAACACAACAAATTTTCCTACCCTCACAATATTTTGTGGGGCCCACACTTTTTAAAACAAAAAATAAATAAAAAATTAAGGCACGCAAAACGAATCTCTATAACATTACACAATCACTTTTCCTACAACATAACTCTTATAAAACCCTTAAATAAACTAAGAAATTTACAAAAATCTTAGCCAAATCAAATAGGGAAGGAAAGAAAACATAATAAATTAAAAACAATAATAATCTATATATATATATATATATATATATATATATATCGTTCACTTTTTCTGCCGTTACTGCATACTTTAATTCAGGAGATATATATATATATATATATATATATATATATATATATATATATATATATATATATATATATCGTTCGTTTTGAAACGGAAATTATGGTATTTTTGTAATTTTAATTTATTTCAGGATTATTATAGTCTTTATTATTATAATTTTTTAATCTTTCAATCTCAAAACGACATCGTTTTAGGAGTAAATACAGATAACTTATCTGCAGCAACTGCAGAAATATTTTTATGATATATATATATATATATATATATATATATATATATATATATATATATATATATATAGAGGTAGGATCCTTTGACACCAGTGTCAAATTTGAAATTTGACACCTCATTTGAGAGTCATTAGATCAAAAAAGATCAACGGCTCTGATTTGCAAGCATGTGATACCATTGATCTTTTTTTATCTAATGGCTCTCAAATGAGGTGTCAAAGGATCCTACCTCATATATATATATATATATATGGATAGGATCTTTTGACACCGGTATCAAACTTTGAAATTTGATATTAAATCCCAACTGTTGATTTTGCCAATCAACGGTTATTATTTATTAGAAATCAAATTTATAAATTAATTATTAATTTTTAATAAATGATAATCATTGATTGACGGAAATCAACGATTAAAATTTGATGTCAAATTTCAAAGTTTAACATCGATCTCAAAAGATACATTGTAAAATTGATGGGTCATGGACTGATGGAGACAATATCTCACTTGCCCGGTTGCATCTTAGGATTGGAAAAAGTTGTTTTAAGATGATATATTTTGTTTTAGTAATATTGTGTAGCTTACGTATATAAACTAAAAAAACAATATTATTACCCCTTTGCATCATGAAGCGTATCTTTACACGTATTAAACAATAATTTAAGTATTCAAGAGATGACATAGTTAGACTAACCAAGAATTTATTCTGCTTATGTTGGATGTCAATATCGAGTTTCCAGTACCCGAATTCGCTATAGTAAGAGTAAGCATGACTTTTTGGAAGAATCATAAAAGACAAAAACAAAATTTCCTCACTTGTTCCACGAGGAGCATAAATTCTTTTGCATAGGGCAATAACCTTAATTATTCGTGCATGATATTTATATAATGGGTTTTATAAAAATTATGTTGTAGGAAAAATGATTGTGTCATGTTATAGAGATTCGTTTTGCGTGCCGTAATTTTTTTTTTGCTTCAAAAGATGCGGACCTCATAAAATGTTGTGTGTGTAAGAAATTTTTTCTGATCATATTGCATGATAAATACAAACCCCTTATATAATATATAAAAGGAGAATAGAATTCTAATTTTCTGGTAGGGTGTTGGAGTTCACCGTCCATGTTGTTTCCAAATCACAGGGATGCATAGTGACTACATACCTTAACGATTCAATTGGTTTACTAGACAAGAACTCCCAGGTTATTTGGTTGGAGTTGTTGCCGTGTTTGGAGCTTCGAGAAGAGGAAGGGACGCACAGTAGTTTTTATTTATTTAAATCTAGTTTATTGATGAGTAAAATGATATTAATTATTAAACAAATTTTAGGGGACATAAATGTATGGTGCTTTGTTGATCTAATTATGTTAAAAATTTGGTAGGTAAAATTTTATCATTAATAAATTGGAAGAAATAAAAAAAAATGGATTGTTCTAAACTTATTTATTGTATTTGGAATTAGAATGATACATAATATTTTTAGAGAGAAGCTATTGAGATTAACGTCTCTCCCTTAAATAATTTTTTTTAAGGTTTGCCATTATGTGGCAGCATGTAGTGGAGATTATCTTTTGTACATCTGTAATAGGTATATCAGTCATTCAACAAGTGATACTTGGATAAAAAAAATATTTTTCTCTCATTCTTGTATAAGCATGATAGTTATTCTCCATTTTTTATTAAATAAATGTACTGAGTGAATAGTACAATAATAGAGGCTTTTTCACCCTTTTGCCCCTCATTAATTAATTAATAACTATTTTACTCCTGATTCGAAATTATCTACCAATTTGCCCCTCTTTAGTCGACTACCTTGCATTTTTAGTCGATTAAATGGTCAAAACAAGCAAAAATGGTTGTTGGGAGATTTAATCGACTAAATCTCCCTATTTAATCAATTAAATCTCCCAACAGGCAACAAAGGGAAACAAGTCCGTATGATTTTTTAATCGATTAAGTAGGGAGATTTAGTCGATTAAATCTCCCAACAACCATTTAATCGATTAAAAATGCAAGTTAATCGATTAAAGAGGGACAAATTGGTGGATAGTTTTGAATCAGGGGCAAAATGATTATTAATTAATTAATGAGGGACAAAATGGTCAAATAGCCCAATAATAGAACCATAAATATTTCTCATGTAGTGAAATTGGTTGATAATTCCTTTTTACCCTAATGGTCACCCAATACATGATAAAGTTTGTGAACAGCAATAGAATATAGCAAGGAGCAGTCTACCAAAAAAAAAATGGAGCAAGGGGCAGAGAAGAATCAAGATGTGACGAATAACAAACCATATACACATATGTTTATGAGTAATTATGACGAGTGATACTGCCTAAAATGTGAGATACATTAAGTTGTTTGTTTGTGAGCTGTTATTTTTAGTTTTCTTCTCCTTATAAACAAAAGTTTAACAAAACATAATTTTGCAAAAAAAATTATCTTAAAAAGAGCTTTTTTTTATAATGAAAAAAAACCCTAAAAATTAAAAACTCAGAAGCTTTTTTTAAGATATATGTCAGCTTTTTGAAATTCTTATATTTATTTTTCAATTATATCTTTATTCTAAACTTTTATTTATGAATTTTATCATTTACCCTTATAATTTACTCCATTAACAAATTATTTCATCTCTATCACTTTAAAATCCAATAACAACATTATACAATTATCAAATAAGTTTTTAACTTTTTTTTTACACTTTAACTTAAAAGTAACTTAAAATATGCCAAACATATTTTAGGTTAGTTCATTTCAACCCCGTACACAGTGTATAAGTTTTAACCCACTCTAAATTGGTAATTTTTCTTTGGGGACGGTTATACTTACCACCAGGTATGTTTACCACCCTTACAACCAATCTCATCACCGTTAAATTTGAATTAAATTTAACGGTTCATAATTATTCCTTATAATCCTAATTTTTACTCTCACATTCCCTCTTTCTCTCTCTAGGTTTGGGATATGCACACATCTCTCTCCAAATTCTTCTCTTTACAACACTCTATCGAAATTGAAATTGAAGGTGAGTCCCCATTAACATTATCATTCAGAACCATTATCATTCAAATATCAAACATGGATCAAACGGAAAATTAAAAAACCGATTCTATGGAAGGAGTCAGAAAAAGAGATCGAAATTGAATTTAATTTAACTTTTATCATGGATCCTAAATCGAAATGAAAAAGAATGGATCGAAATGAAAAAGAACTGATTGATTCTGTCGAGATTTGAATAGTGTAAATTCAATTTCGATCTCTTTTTCTGACTCCTTCCATAGAATCGGTTTTTTAATTTTCCGTTTGATCCATGTTTGATATCTGAATGATAATGGTTCTGAATGATAATGTTAATGGGAACTCACCTTCAATTTCGATTTCGATAGAGTGTTGCAAAGAGAAGAATTTGGAGAGAGATGTGTGCATATCCGAAACCTAGAGAGAGAAAGAGAGAATGTGAGAGTAAAAATTAGGATTATAAGAGATAATTATGAACCATTAGATTTAATTCAAATTTAACGGTGATGAGATTGGTTGTAAGGGTGGTAAACTTACCTGGTGATAAGTATAACCATCCCCTTTTCCTTTTGCCCAAATGGATGAATCAACCCACCTATCATCATAGATAGTGACTTCAAATGGTAGGTGGTTATTTTCACCCCTTTGGCTTCCACCCCTTCTTCCATAGGTTGTTATTTTCAAATGATAGGTAGTGAATTAGGGAACATCAACTGAAATTCAGTAACTTCAATAAAGAAAGTGAATTGGATGATTATACTTCAATCCTAACTACTTTTATATGTGGTATATATTTTGAATGGAAGGTAAGTTTTTGTGTACAGCTCTTCTTCTTTTCTTTTTCTTTTTTCTTCAATATTTGATCTAGTTTTTACACTTAAAAAGTTAAAATTAATGAGGTGTTTCATATACTAGTATTTCAAACTGTACGAATGTACGATATTTTGTATAATTCTCAAGTTGTCAAGGTTTGAGTTAAATAGGTAATTTAAGATTCTAATATTTACTGTCATAATCAAATTATCGTACAGTTATTGAAGTGTTCAGTAAGAAAATAAAATTAGTAATTAATAAAAATATCATGCTTTTTATTCGAGAATATGGGTTTTCATATGTCCTGTGAGAAGTCAGCCTTGAAAATTACTGAAATGAAGATATACAGGTTATAGAAAAACGGTGTCCATAATAATCTCATAATTAAATAAAAATAGGTATATTAATATAGAATAAAATATTAAATGCCCGGACGAGAAATACTTATTTACTGAAGACTTTCTATATATAGGATATGATTGTTCTACGAGATATTTTGTCACACGATTCAAAACTTCGATGTTGGAATTTACGGCCAAAAAAGATAGAAAAAGAAGCTTATTGGTACCTATTTGAAATATATAAATTCAGGAAGATGTGCCGCTGTACTTATTTACTTGCTCCTAATATTTAGATACTTGACTATTATTAATAAAAAAAGAATGCGTTTACTAGTAAATCTCAAACTTACATTACACACTAAGTTAAATCACCCTACTCCACTTATTATTTAGGTGTTAGGACCTCATATAAAAAATGAAAAACAAATAAATTAAGAGTTGATCATATTACTATTATTTTAAGCTTACTATTCTTACTACCTATTTGATTACCCATTATATCAACTTGAAATCAATGGTTGAAAAATAAAATAAAAATTAATTGCCGTTATTTTCAAATTGATCCAACAATAACTAAACAGATAATAAAAATGATAAGACTAAAATAATAATAAGTATAACCTTCCCCAATAAATTATACCTCCATTAGATTAAAACTTAGCAAGCAATGTGACCCGTTAGAGGTTCGTGAATAGTCTCATGGAGGGTGAAGTATGCCAATTTAGGGATGCTCATATTGACAACGGCAAAGACCAAAGCACTGTAGAGACTTCCTGTGGTGCTATACATCGAAGAGGGAGTGTGTGTGAAGATAGTTAAGGTGACTCTCCATTGTGGCAGAATAACAACATGAAAGTTGGATAGAGAAGAAGATGTCCCTTTAATGTGTGAAGAGAGAAGATGAAATGCTGTCACCTAACCAGCCCGGGTGCAGGGGCAACAGTGCATGGGAAAAAAGAAAGGAATCTTATGCTACCCTCTAAGGGGGCGTTTGATTCGGGTTTTCTTATGAGATACCCAGACATCAGTCATTGGCATTTTGTTTGACCACGTTTGGTTCAAGGTATTTAAATATTTAACAAGCAAACTTATTTGTCCATCCTTTATCAATTGTTTGGAAAATCAGACGAAAACACAGACTTAAAATGCCACTTCGAATGTGGTATTGTAAGATGACCTGCTAAATTGAGAAAAGAAAATGAAAGACGTGACTGAAATACCCTTTTCTAACCTAACCTCAGATTGCACATCTCTGCCAAGGTCATTTTCAATTTCTCCGCTGCGCAGAGGGTATCGAAGCTCGTTTTCCCTTCTTCGTTGCACACATCTGTGCATGTTGTAAATAACCCACTCTCTGTTGCGCATAAAGTTCCTTGATATTATCAGGTGCTCCAATGAATTTTACCTACCGTGATTTGCAAATCAAGACATGCAACTTTTCACAGCTTCTAGGAACAAGTAAGTGTATCCTATATTAAATTTTATAGTAAAGGATAAGTTGTAGGTAGAGGAGTTGATTTGGTTTAGTGTATACGGTTGTTAACTGTTCATATTTTGCTAGTGGATTTGGGAGTGTGTACAAAGGAAGCCTGGGAGATAGTACCTTAGTTGCACTGAAGAAACTTGAAAGGGTTTTACCCCATGAAGAGAAAGAATTTATCACTAAAGTAAACACCATTGGCTCAATGCATCATATGAATTTGGTTCGCCTATGCAACTATTGTTCAGAGGGGGATAACATCAGTATGCACTGTTTCTTGACCAGAAATTAAAAAGGAGTTTCTTTCGTAATTTTATACCATTTTTTTATTAATATTTTACCCTCAACCAAATATAGACTTACAAAAAATTTTTTACCAGCAAACTTACTTTACCAGCAACCAAATTTTTTTCAATTTTACCAGCAAACTTACTTTTCCACAATTTTTCCAATAATTATATTTACCTGATAAAAAAAAAAATTTTATCCTCTACCAAATGCTTTCCGAAAAGATTTAAAAGTTGACTTTTAAGAGTGGATCCGAATGAGCTTATGAATATGGGCCGGACAAAACACAATGGCTTCCTTGAAAGTCGAAAAACACATCTTAAAACGATGGCTAGTTTTACTATCACCATCTGTAATTAATTCATCGGAACTAGTCAAACAACAAAAAAGGGCAAGCCAGCTGCTCATTGATTCATGGCAAGTACAATTATAAGACATTGAACTCGGAACAAAAAGTGATGTTCAACAGAGGGGGGAAATCGCAAAGACTGCTTTGAAAGGAAAAAAAAAATGATTAGCCTGATATTAGAATGACATGTACGGATTATGACTTTTTATTTTTTATTTATTAATTTTTTGGAGATATATTTTTTATTTTTTTCTGTTAGGAGTCATAGTATTGTTTAAAATAGATAGCATTATTAGTGGAGGTTTTTTTTTAAAAAAAAAAAAAATTAGACTAGGGAGGGAGAAATAGAAAGGTTAATTGTGTACCAAAGGCCGAGTTGGGAGGGGGATAAAAAGTAATAACATACAATTTGGCATTTTCAACATCATAAACTGATCATAAAACCAAACAACTACTTTGTAATTGTAAGTTTACCCTGTGTCATTGCAACAAGTCTCTTGCCTCCTCCATTCCTCCAGACTCCACGAACTGGCAGCTGCCTAGGAGGCTCCTTATTTCCATTTGATCTTTCTTGTACATTACTGGAAACAGGATCGTAATCATCAAGGTCTGTAACGGCAGCATCATCATTGCCAAGACGTTTCCTTAGGAACTTTGGCATCTTCTGCTGCTGCTTGTTACCACCTGCTCCAGTCCCCAGGTTTTGTTTTGAACCACCACCAGCCCCAGCTGACTGAGAAACATTTTTGTTCCGTTTCTCCATCCTTGATGGTCTAGCAGAAGATGAATTGCCTATTTCATCTTCATCAACTGAAACCTTTGACTTTCCTTTGTCACAACAATAATCATGTTCTGATAAAACATTTACTTCCCTATCAGAAGGCTTACACTTCAACTGCAAATTACTCAAGCCATTTATAGAATTATCAATCAGATTAAAATTTGTCCCATCCTCTCCACATTTCTCCTTACCTTTTCTGGAGTTCTTTTGCTTTTTAGGCTGACCACTGTCATTGCACAAATGAACTTTATCGTGACAACTTCTCGCATTTAAGTAGTAAGTTTCAATGAGTTCTTTTTGCTTCTGAGCATCAGGACAGAGTCTAGCTAGCTCAAGAGTAAGATGGGACAAGCCAAATTCATGCACCTTGGCAAGGAATTCCCCAGAATTCATTGATCCTCGTCGAAAACCAGCAGATGCTTTCCTAAAATCAATTAACTTATTATCATCAAAACCTACAGTGGCACGAATTTTTTCCAAAAGCAACTTATTGGCTTTCTGAACATCTTCTCCCTTCAGCACCAGCTGACCACTTGACTGAACCTCGTTATTCAAAGTAACTGAAATGGGAGGCAATTTAGTAGATTTTCTCAAAGACCCTGTGTCTACCGGGTTTGAAGCAGAAGCAGAGTGGTTGGTCGTACTAGTGCTACTGAAATTTCTCAATGAACTAGCCACATCAACTGGCATGATTTTAACATCTGCAGTTAACGGAGCCTGAGAAGAGGCTGAAGGGCCAGATGAAATACATCCATTAACTGTTGCCGACTTGCTCCGGGAGAAACAGTGGAAATCAGAGAATGACAGAGATGCAGGATCAGCTGCCAGAGTTGACTGGTGAGAACTGCTGCCTGATGAGGTAGGTTGATAAATTGTTGTGTGCCAAGCCTGAGAACTAAGACCAGAAGAAGTTCTTTTGTTTTGGTGGCGAAGGCAAGCTGCCATTTTTTTCTCCCTCCTTTCTTCTGAACAATTGTTAAATTTATGTTTACTCCTTCTTGCAGCTGATGGAAGAGGAGGAAATGATGATTCTTCTAGCATTCCATTCCTAGAGGTTTGGCCTAAATCATGATTGCATCCTAGAGATGACTCAGATTGAAGTGCAGCTAATATGTCAAAAGAATTAACATCAGACTCAGTGTCACTCGCCTTTACTTTGTTAAATCTCTGCACACTTGATGAAGCATCACTGATGTTTTCTTCAATGACTGTCCGAAAACTGGGTTGAATAGCCCAAAAACGTTGATTGACCAATGAATCATGATTATAACTATGCTCTCTGCCTTGACAATCATTCCCATTGCCCTGATGATGGCAAAAGCTTGTTAGTATATGGAAACAAATACGGACAGAAGTAGCAATCTGCCAAACTGTCGCTGTAAGGAAATCTAGAATACAGATGAATAAGGGATTAAAGCAAAACACGATTTTAATTTTCAAAAAGTTGCAGTAGAGGGAAAATAAACAACTAAGATATAAAAATGAAATGCAAGAATCTGAAAGTGCATACAAACCTGATGAACAGCATTGCGCCTGAAGAGAGATGCACAGCCTGTGTGTTCTGCAGCATTATGTTTCTGCAATATCAGGTTTAAATTATATAGCATTCTCTATATAACATATGAAGCAAAGTTAATAATCTGACTACACTATAGTTAGAGTAAAAAATAATTTCATATATGTTTAGCCACAAGATTACCTTCATCTCAGTTTCAGTAGCAAACACAATAAATTTACTTTCAACGCAAGCCCCATTTTCACATAAGAAATGCTCTTGACGAAAATGTATCTGAGAATCATGAATTTCAACTGAGAAAAGAAATTCTTAAAAAGGATCACTGGAAAATCATGAAATATCGCCAGGTAAGAAAATATAGAACTAGCCTCTAAGTGATCATAATCTTTGTAGTATTCATACTGTCCAGTGTGCAGCCTGCATTAAACGAGACAGAGGGGACATAAGACAAAGTAAATCACTGAACTCACCTAATCTTTTGATCACAAAATGCAAAATAATGGTAAACAATAACATTTTACCTTTGGCATATGTGGCAAGTATAGTGCTCCCTAGACATATGTGAGTACAGTTCATTTTCTCCATAGAATGGGTTCTGGCAAAATTCACACATAGGATGCCCCATGAACCCACCTCTTTCATATTCATTGCCATCAATCACTGAGTCACCAGTCTTTAAATGTTGATTCAGTTGTGCCTTATTATACATCTTTTGCTCACATATAAATATCTGGGGAAAAGCTAGAGGTTAGTAAAGGCAAACTGAATAATTGACATTAAAATCTCTATACCAAATAACAGTTTTGAAGAATTTGTAGAGCAGAATTCATATAAAACTATCTTAGCAATCAACAACAATGTACGAAAAAAATTTCACAAGAAATTTCCTAACAGTATCTTTTGTCTGTTTACAAATAGAGAGAGAAAGAAAATCTACAAGGCAAACTAATTACATACTATGTGCCCCCCATTGGGACTAGTGACAACTTCTATGTCAGGAACCAACTGCCCAGAGGCACACGCTTGACAGATTTAGATGCTTGCTTATATGTTTAAAATAAAAAATTGAGTTCCTATCTAAATAAAGATTCCAGAACTTCCTTTTTCTCTGTCATTTGTCCACTTTCTTCATTTTGTCCTTTTGTATTTTTAGTTTCTCATGTTTGGACTTGGTCTTTTGCCTTTCCCACCAGTTCTTATTTTAGCATTATACCTCTCACATAATGTTGTCTGAGTGAATCTTGATGGTCACAGAGACCACCAAAAGGTTGCGAGAGACCAAAATATGTTGTTGTAAGTGTGTAAGTAACATTTCATTTGGTATAAACGGATCAGCATAACACTTAAAAAGACATATACAACACTGAATTGAGAACATGATTTCAACTAAACATATCTCACCTTCCGACCTTCCAAGCACAGACTACACATGAACAGCCTATGCCGATGGTACAGATGACTTTCCAGCTGTTCGATGCTATTGAACTCAGCTGTTATCTTTGTTCCTTTGCTTTCCTTGTCATTTATCTTATCACAAACTCCACATGAAAGCCTGCACATTGCCTTTATTGTCCTGTAGTGATCTACATCATCGAAATATGCTTGTGTTCCTTCATGATACCAATATGACCCAACTTTACCCTCTCTTGGATTGGTTGGAAATACTGAAAAGTCATTTATCATCCTTGTATAATCTCCTAAAGCCTGTAGGGGGAAAACAAATAGAAAGGGACAATAAAATTATGATAAGGAAAAAAAAAAAAAAAAAAAAAAATAGCCAGCACTAAATAACACAAGTATATTTCAAGTACAAAAGCCATAAACTTGCAGTGTTAGAAGATTATTTGATTAAAGCACAAAAATTAACATGGTTGAATCATTTAATCATATGGTAACAAAACATTTAGTTGGATCCATTAGGAGAGAAAATATTGTCCTTTGGCATCAAAGTTGTTCTTAAACCCAAACTATTGAACAGTAGTAACTAAAAGAAAAATGGTGAGGGCCAACCTTGGTGACAAAAATAATGTTGGAGATGGACTTGCAGATACAGCAATGATTATCAGTGCAGATGAAACGCAGACGAATAACACAGGTCGAGCAAACCTCCCTATGGCCACAGGGTCCATATGCAGTCCACTCCAGTGTCTCAGCACACACAGCACAGCTATCATCCATGTCTGAGGATTTAACAGAAAAAAAGAAAACACCAATTCATTATAAATTAATTTTATGCTTTAATGTTTTGAATCGTGACCAGTCTCACTTGTAACTTAGAGGATCCATTCAGATGCATGTATTATCATCTTCATGGATTATGTAAAGAAATATTTCAACTCAAAAACTCAAATTGTCAGGCCACAATATTTAATTATTTATTAATAGAATTGGGTGATCCAAATCTACGAAGCACCGATACGGCGTTTTCGATACGTTCTCGATGGTACAGGATGTCGATTACCATACAAAACGTGTCCGATACGTTTCGGATACGCGCGTATCTGATACTTTGAAAAAAAAATTAAGGAGTATCGGTGCTTCATCGATCCAAATCATGAGCAGTTGATGAGGAAAACTCTAATACATGTAAAGAATAATTTCAATCCGAAAACTTAAGCTGTTTGGCAAAGGTTAGGTTACGGTAAGGTTTTATATCATATCTCTATGACAGATTATATTGCAACTCAACCTCGTAGATGATATTCTTCGATCTTCAAGGTTAAAGATTAACTTAGGCAAAACAAGCAGCGTTCTAAGTTGGTTTTGATTTTAACAAAAAAATAAAATAAAAATAAAAATAAAAATTAGTGAAAATGTTGATGAATTTGAAGTTTGAAGGAGAGAGTGGTACCTTGAAAGTTATCAGGTCGTGAGATATAAGCAGTGATCCACTATATGTATGACTAAGACGCAGATCAGATCTGTAACTGTAACTGTACGGAAAGCAAGAATTTCAATCTCTAGAGACTTTGAATCAGAGAGTTCAAAGAATGATATATTCAAACTTGGAAATGTGCTGTAATTCCTTACATGATGATGATGATGAAGATGAAGATATGTGTTTCTTCCCTTTCAAAAACCCAAACGGTGAAGTTAAGTCAAACGTGATTCACCAAAAGGTTCCAAATACAAAACAGTTATGTCCATCACCTCTGTTCCCCGCGACGTCGACCCACAGGAATCGGAAAATGAAAACGTGATTCTTCGTTAGTTCCCGCAGCAACACCAACACGAGTACACGACAAGGAGCCGGTGTCGTTTCCTCATGAATGGTACCGTATAACGATGGACCACGATGCCCTTCTTTTTTTTTACGTCGTATGACCCATCTTGGAAATAAAAAATAAAAAATAAAAATTTAAAGAGGCATTTAGTACTAGATAATTTTTTTTTATCAAAAAAATTCAATTACTAGAAATTTGATAGAAAAATAAATTTGATAAGAAAGTTGAAAAAAAGTTATTTAATTGGCCAAAATTTTACCAGAAAAATTAGATTAAATTTACCGAGTCTATATTTAATCAGAAATAAAAAATTGATTGGAAAATAATTTCAAACTACGAAATAATCCTTGTGACAAATACTATTGCTTAATAGAGGATATTTTTGGCCATGAAATGGTCTTCTTTCTCCCATTAGCCTAAACAACTTAAAATGTCATCTTGCAAGAGGTAGTTTTCAACAATGTTCTTTTTTCAATTTCCCACACAAATATAAACAGGCAAAGCGGATATATGGCAAATTTTTTCAAAAACTTCGACCAAAGGAAATTCAAAAAAGACACGTTGAGAAACATGGCTAACTTCTTGAAAAATCCGAACCAAACACCCAAACGGAATTTGAGGAATGAGATTGGGATTTTGCTACGAGTGGGTTAATAGGTCTGCGTATTTTGAACGAGGTTATAAGTTAAAATCTGTTTAAAAGAAATACCTTCATCTTATTGCCAAAAGCTTGAACATGCTTCATCTTCTATTGTTTCATTTTTTTTCTTGTTCTTTTCCTTTGATGTCACTGTACATTCAGTGCAGAAAGTTTCACCTTAGGTTATAGCTAAGTGCTGCCAATAATTGTAACCAAAAAAAATTGTTGTCATCGCCAATATATTGATGTAAAATGGTGAAGTCTCATTGTCTTTTAGGCTACACTATTTCTTTGATGGTTACACAATTATTTTTTAGAAATTCGGAGATATTCTTGTTCAATCTCTTTCGGCTATCATGTCCTTGCAATACGACTTCAAATGTTACCTCTTTATTGGAACAACGAGTATATTAAATTATGTTACCGAAAGAGTAATGAACTAATTCTCTATCAAGAGAAACTTTTTCCCTCTGATCCACAAAGAATTCCAAGGATTTACCGTACCCAAATATCGAACCCTAAGCACTACAAACCCCTAGTGCTCAAACTCGCTAGTTGAGCTACCCCGCTCAAACCTTAGCCCACAATTTAAACGGTGAAGCAAATTGATTCGGTGGCTACACATTTTAAATGGTGGCTATGTTTATCTATAAATATATGGCTTATTCTTCATTTGAAATTATTCCAAAATTTAAGAGAAAATGTTTTCTTATCATCCCAACTTAGATAGAAAAACACAAGTGTCTCTTAGTGTTATTTTAAATGAGGTATATTCTCCTAATATAAAAGAGAATGATATTATTCTTTCATTGTATTTTTTTTATTTATTTAGTGAAAAAAAAAATTGATCTTGTTCGTGATTTTTCTCAATTGAATTTTTCACGTAGATTTTATGTCACTTCAATTGACGTATTTATTGATCTCTTCAGAATTAAGATAAAGTTAATTATATTATTAGTGTCTAAAAAATGAGCGATTACATTTGCATAGCTCAGAGAGACTCCCATTAAATTTATATTTACCTTGTCAATTGGTATGGTTAATCGTGTCTTGAAATTCCAATTTCTTTTAACTCTATTTTAAGCATGATACTCTATTATCAATTAATTTAGAATTTAGATGAGTGCGGAAATTTGTCATAACGCGGTTTAGCTGCTGCTCTCGGTTTAGGAACTAGTTAAGCCATGCATGATATGCAGTTCATATTCATGTTTCTATGCGACGTCATGTGACATAATCTCAAGCGGAAGCATTCAAACATACAAATATAATATTTCTAATTATTCATGAATATACTTACCATGTTGATCTTAAAATTTATGAATTTGTACAATTAGAAAAGATGAAAGCCATATCACCAAATTGGTTTCTCCGCAGTGGAGTCAGCTCTAAGACCGTCCTGGTCCTGGAACTCGCTATAAGAGAGTAACTGAAAATTTATTTAAAATGAAATAAATAAATGAAATTGTCACTAATTTTATTCTAATCGGGAAATTTTGAAAAACCTTTTTTGAAAAATTGAGATCAAGTACGGATCCTTTTAACAATGATTATATTAAATTAATTATATAAATTATTAATAAATTTAAAAATACTTTATAATAAATAAATAAATTATCTTTCACAATTACTATCCCAAAACGACTTCTTGATGATAAAAAAATTCTGGACAATATGAGAAAGGTCATCCAAGAAAGAAACAAAACTCATAAACACCATGTATTTTTTTTCCCAAACATAACAATATTATGTTAGGATTGCAGGAGATATCCTTATGACACGAAAAATATTTTTCACTTTTTAAAAACTACTTTATTCTTAAACATATTTTTTTTAGATTTTTTTAATTATTTAATCAAAAATATTCAAAATGAAAAAGCCTAAACTAACCTAGGAGACAAATTATTCTATTAATCAACCAAAATTAACTTGAGCCAACTCCAAATTCACAATCTTTCCTAAACATAAAGTATACTTCTTCTTTTTTACCAAAAATGCATAAACCCAGCCTATCAAAATTCAAAATTATCTGGCTATCAAAAAAAAAAAAAAAAAATTATCTCTTTTTTTCATTAACATACACTAACCCAAAGAAGAAGCCATAACCACAACCCATCCTAAACTAAACAAATATGGAGTTGAATAATTTTTTTTAATTTCTCCAGTTCATCAATTACCTTATTGGTTTGTTCAAGCCGAACAAAATCACAAGGTAACATAACTGTTTCTATCAAATTTTTAACATAACTCCTTATTAAAGACTCAAATTTGAGCTTACCAAAAAAAAAAAAAAAACTCAAATTTGAAACTACTAGTTAAGTTAGAACAATCTTTCCAATATTTTTTTTGGATATGATATATCGGTTCATCGATTATTCCATTAGTCCGATGCAAGTCGAGTAGGATTACATTGACAGTAAAATTTTTCCTATCAAATTTTTAACACAATTGTATTCCAAATGATTTGAACTCAAAACCACTAGTTAAGTTGAAAACAACCCTTAAAAATTAATCCACGTATTTGTTAGTTAGAAAAAACATTCATAACCAAAATGGAATGAATAAAAAAAACATAAAGAATGTAAGAATGTACCATGTCAAAACAGCATAGATAAGAATATTTTTTACTCACACCACCATCATTTTGGGTGTGCATGATAATGATGGGGAAGATTATATTTACAAATTTTTTGTTTACAGACTCTTATAAACTACATTATGTCTGACCGGTCATACTTCAATCAAGAGTGTATGACCGGTCAGACTTAGTGTAATTTGTAAAAGCAAATTGTAAACGGATCCTTCCTCAATAATCATTATGTTCTTTGACATTATTTTTGGATAATTTTTTTTAATTTCTGTGCCTAAAAAGAGTTGCTGGAAAAAAAAATCTTTGATAAGACCTTTTATTTTTATTCTTAGGAAACATGATTCCAATTTGTAACAATTACTTTTAAATGACCAAATTTGTCAATGTATATAAAAATTTGTCAATGTAACAATTACAAATTTGTCAAGATCTTTTAACCAACATTTCAAAAAAAATGTATTTAACAAACACAATTATCCAAAATATATATATATATATTGGATAAATGTTATCTCATGGAAATACTTAAAAATATATAAACATATTTTTTATATATTATTTTATTATTTTAATACTAAAGAAATAAGTAAATACACATATATCACATGAGCCAACTCATTTTTCATGATATCAAATCATGAAATTTAAAGCACAAATAATTAATGTTAAATATGCAATATGAGTCATGTTATATGTGCTAATGAATCATATATATAATGTTATGTGTACAAAAAATTTAAAGCACAGATAATTAATGTTACATCTTACCAATGTAATTTGAATACCTCATTATTCATATTGCTACAAAATCAAAATCATAGACATGTGTTAAATTCTTGTCTTGATTCTCTTTTTGTGCATGGAAAAAAATAATAAAAAAATTATTTTTTATTTTTTTCAATTTTTATTCATTAGCTACCAGCTCATTTCTTAGGATAGAATAATAAATTAAATTTATCAAATACTATTTTTAATTATTTCTGCTGAATGAAAATAAACAAATAAAATAAAAAAAAACTTGAAATATTAGCTTTCACTAGTAATTACAAAGTTTCTAACACAGTACAATTTCATATTGCATTGTTTACGTTACTGTTAATGTGTATACATCTTTACAAAACAAATATCTTACTATTCGATGAAAGATATGCATAATTGTGTTAACGATTTGAAAGAGGATTTCAATCACTCAAAATTATCTCTAATTCTGGACTAAGTTGGCTCGCACTCAAAATTTGAGTACAAGCCAACTTAGTACATAATTATTTCGATGACGTGAGAGGTGACCTCTATTTATTGCTATCCATGTTGGTGTTTAAGGTTGTGTAAAATTGAGGGGATCTTTGATGACAATACCCGCAAAAGCTTCCACCATTGGTTCAAAGGTCTACAAAATTGCAATTACGACACGAAGGATTTGGCCAATCACGATTTGAAAACTCTTCTTTTGAGCTCTCACGACTAGATGTTCCTCTGCTTCTATATGTACTCTCATTGCTCTCCTAGCTCCTCAAATATAATGATAGTATGCTATCTTTAAAGAATTCTAACAATGTGGTGCTCAAGATGGATAAGAGCGCTGCCACCTCTCAATCAAAGTTTCTCAGAGATCAAATTGGGCAGTGGTGGAGCCACATATAGTGTGGGTGTGGCTTTGACTCGGGCTAAGTTTCTCAGAGATCAAATTGGGCAGTTGTGGAGCCACATATAGTGTGGGTGTGGCTTTGGCTCGGGCTAAATTCTAATAAATTTTACTTATTGTATATAATTATATAATTAATT